GCCTTGAAAAAATTGGACAAGCCCTTAAAAGAAAGGGATGCTTTCTGAAAGGCAGAGACTCAAGGCATGGAGGAGACTGACACAGAGAAGATTCTGCTGCTGACTTTGGAGGATTCTGTTGCTGCCATGTTGTATAAGACAAGTGCAAAGGCCATTGTCAAGAAACTGGGAGCAACCTCCAGGAGCTGAGAGTAGCTTCAAGTTGGCAATCAGCAAAGAAAAGGGGACCTCAGTCTTACCCTTACAAAGAATTAAATTCTGTCAACAACCTGAGCTTTGTATCAGATCCCTTCCCAGAGAAAGATGGGATCACTGTTGGTCAATGCCTTGAGGGAGGCACCCTGAGCAAAAAATTCTTTTGAACCATGTTGGGTTTTCTTGATCCTCTGAAACTATGTTGTAATAAATGTGAATTGTTTTAAAGCCTCTAGATTCATGATATTTGTTACAAAGCAGGAAAAAAACGAACTCTTCTCCCTAAGACTTTGAATTTTGATGATGCCATTCTCCTGCTTTTAGAGTCTTCGTATTGTCTTCATGATAAAATCCAACCTCAATAAAGACTTTTAAAAACCGAATCACTTCCCTAGGGTCATTACTTGCCAGTTTGATGCTGTCAATCCGTGCCAGCAGGCTAAAATCCTTGGAGGTCCCTGATGACACTGTGTTCTCTCTTGCTTCATGTCTTCCTTGCACTTTGTAGGGGCCCAAGGTGGGCTGCCCTCAAATGTACCACAATGACATACTGATTATTTTGAATTGAGGCTACTTGGGAAATAGTCGGTGCAAAGACACTTAGAACCTTCTCTGATCCCCAGAAAGGAGGAAATAAATCTGTTACATGAAAAGTATTTTCCCTGTACTAAGAAGTAAAAAGATATCCTTATCACCAAAGAGATGGAACTCTAAAGCCAAGAAAGCAGTAAAAATAAACCTCAGAGAGAGAGAGAGAGAGAGAGAGTGTGTGTGTGTGTGTGTGTACCAATCTATAGCTAGCTCAGCGCAGATTCCACTTAGAATTCCTTACTAATGAAAGTTCCCAACCATCTCTTTTCTTTATCCTGCCGAGTTCTCACAAATTTATGGTTTCTTTGTCTAAATTGTATAAAAACTGCCTGCCTTTGTCATTTCATCAGGTCTCAATTTTATTATTGGTCCTCTATGCACATATCCTAAAACTTTGTTTTTTCCTTTTGTTGATCCATCTCGGGCCTGTTGAATTCCTAGACCGGCTGGAAAAACCTTGGAGGGCAGAAGAAAATTTCTTCCTGCCCTACAATTCATGCCTTAGTCTAAATTTTAATTTGCTAGCTTTTACTAGTGCCTTAAGACTGGGTGAGTCCACTGTCATCCTGGTCCCCAGGGGATCTGGTTTTTACCCCTTTTGTAGCACGTAGGGCACAGATAAAACTGTCTGTGTACCTGACCGCCTCCCTGAGCACATGGCATGCGATGTGAGGGCGGTGTTTTCATCTTACTCAGCACTATCCTTCCCTAGGTTCGGAAACCAGTGCTGAATGACTGAATGTGTAAATGGGAAACAAGGCTGTGCACTGCCTTAGGAATGAATTCAGGAAAAGTCCGATCCTCATCTGTTTGTTCCCGCGCAGGAAGACGTGGTTTCAAGTGGCTACCACTCTGCTCGTAGAATTAATTTGGGCAAAGTCACCTCATGTCCTTAAGTTTTGTTTGCATACTTTGAGAAATAAAGATACTATGAGTGATTAGTGTATGAGATTGTTTCAAGAACAAACTAGGAAAATGAATGCGGTGGCACAGTGTCTAGTCCACAGTTCAATGTACAGAATGTTAGCTATTGGTTTTAGGGCAGTTCTTTATTAATTGCCATTTCTTGCAAGCCTCCATGTGGGCTACAGAGGGGACCAAGATCTTTTTCATGTGTTTGGCAGAAATCATTTTTTTTTTCTTTTGCCTTTTTGTTTTCTCTGTCTCTTTGTTTCTAGCAAGGAAAAAGAAACTTAAGAACAAGCCACAAGCTGCCTGCTGACTGCTGCTTTGAGTTTCACTTTCTTTTTTCTCAAACCGGAAGATACAGGTCTCAGCAGAACCTTTCAGTTTCAAAGCTGGGGCTGCTGGATACAAGAAACAGAGCAGCTAAACGCTACATGTAAGCTCCCTCCAGCTGTTAAAAAACAGGTAAGTGGCTTTTTGCCATCGGGTGTTTTCCAGCTGTGTATAAAGAAAATTGCCCGTTTGCCTTTTTTTGGAAAAAGAACTTCAGAGGAAAATTGCTGCTAATGATCATAATTTCCTCTTGAATTTGTTTTGTTTTTAATGAACATTTCAAACACAGGGGACTCCAGAATGTAAGTAAGCTCCAGTGTAATCTCACGCAGTTCTATCAGATTTTTAAAAATGACTTGCTTTATCAAATTAGAATAGTTTTTTACCCCAGAAAAATAAAAGCCTTACAAACAATGTTGAAGTTATCTGTGAATCTCTCCTCCATTCCTTTCTTTTCCCTTCCTTCCCTGAGGGAAATATTATCCAGACTTTGGGATAAATTATTGTTTTGCTGGTTTTTGGTGCCTTTGATGTATGGACATATGTATCTAAACACAAGCTCTAGTATTCCTTTGTGTTAACAGTTTATTTAAATATCATACTAAGTGTATGATTCTCAATTGCTTTTTTCCACTCAAGATTAATGTTTTGAGCTTTAACAATGTTGATACAAATAGGTCTAGTTTAGTCACTTCAGTGCTTTCTAGTATTTCATTGTGTGAGTATGACAAAATTTGTCTATGCAATCTTCTAATGTCACCCTAAACAATGCTGCTATGAGCATACTTGCTCCCCAAAGTGATGTGTGTCTCTCAAAATAATGTGAATATTATCTCTATGTCTGGGTCAACCTGGTATTGCTGGACTTTTGTTTGATGTGAAATAATATCTCACTGTTTAATTTACACTTATTTGTTTGTAGAATGTTGAATACTTTTGTATGTTTACAGCTTGTTTGAGTTAGCTCGTCTGTGAATGTCTTCTTCATATACTCTGCTTTTTCATTAGAGACAGATTTTCCACTAGATGTGAGATACACACACACACACACACACACACACACGAGTAACATTAGTCAGCCATACAAAAGGATGAGATCTTGTCATTTGGGACATGGATAGATCTAGAGGGGATTATGATAAGTGAAATAAGTCAGAAAGAAAAATGCCATCTGATTTCTCTTACCTGTGGAATCTAAAAAACAAAACTAATTAATAAACAGTATGGGTTTATTTCTGTGTTCTGCTTTTTCTCTTGGTTTTTCTATCCTGTTATTCCATTTCCTCTCTTGTGTTTATAATGAATGTGAATCACTGAATATAAAAAAATGGAAGCTACGAAGATGTTCTCTTAATCTAGACAAGATCTGTTTTGCATCTGCCATGCTGTTGGGGGCATAAGAAATCTTCATTTATACTAATCCAAGTGTAGACTGAAATTACTTAGGAGATGGAGTTGAGTCTGTCCATTTCCAGTCCACCCTTCCTTCTTCCCTGTAGCTCTTCAGAATCCTTGCTCACGGGGGCGCCTGGGTGTCTCAGTCAGTTAAGTGACTGCCTTCACCTCAGCTCATGATTCTGGTGTCCTGGGATCAAGCCCCTCTCACCAGGGCCCCAAGTCATCAGGCTCCCTGCTCCGAGAGGGGGCGTGTCTGCTTCTCCCCCGCCCCTTGCTCCTCCTCCTGGCTCCTGTACTCTCTCGGGCTCACTCACTCTCCCTGTCTCCTATAAACAAACAAACAAACAAACAAACAAAAATCCTTGCCCATGGCCTGAGAGGAGGGTTGCCAAGGCATCCTCTTCGTTGCGCTCTATGTCCCTAGCTCTGGGAGTCTAGCAGCGGTTTTGCCCAACATCTCAGCATCTCTGGCACCTCGTCTAAAGCTAACAGATAGTCCTCACGGAAATGCGTTCCCCAGTGCCAAGCTTACCTCTCTGTGTTCACTTCTTTTCCCAATCTTAGCCCTCCAGTGCTTTCAAATATATGTATTTACACAGTTTACCCTGTGTTCTCATTTTTCTCATTGAAAGAATTGGCATGATGGCCCATGGTTTATTCCCGTGCTGTAGGACCTTGATGTCTGTTAACTCCTTTCATATGTCAGTTCCTTTCTTTGGGAACTGTTTTCTGTAAAAATTCCTTTCTCCTACCTTCTACTTCATGGGTTGGGCCACTATATCCTGTGTGACGCCTGTTTTGATAAAAAAGGCTCTATTGGAACACAGTCATACCCGTTTGTTTACACGTTGTCTCCATTTTTGTGTCACATTGGCAAAGTTGAGTAATTACGGCAGAGACCGCATGGCCCACAAAGCCTAAAATATTTACTCTCTGTCATTAAGAAAAAATTTTGCTGATCGCTGTTCTAATTTATTAATTTTACTATGTCCTTTATCTAAGCTTTCATTTGTCTACTGACTTTAAAAAATATAATGATTTTTTATTTCTAAATTATCTATTTTTTTCATAGGTACCTACTGTTTTGCATTTCTCTTTCTCTTTCTCTCTCTCTATGTGTGTATGCGTGCGTATATACATAGATATACGTATTCATATGTATACGTATATCTATGTATATACGCACGCATACACACATAGAGAGAAATATACATACATAGATATCTATGTATGTATATATGTATACATATATCTATGTACATATATGTACACATATCTATATACATATATGTATATGTACATATGTATACATATATCTATGTATGTATACATACATATATCTATGTATATACACATGCATACACGTAGAGAGAGGAATGGAAAACAGTAGGCTATATATAGGATATATCCTACATATATATAGATATATATATGTATATACACACGCATACACATTTCTTTTTTTTTTTTGCCTTGTGGTCTAAATAACATATTTTAATTGGGCCAGAGGGAAAAAAAATAACGTGTTGGAGCTAGAAGCAGAAATCTGTGCTTTAAACCATTGTGATATACTAACTAGCCTCTCAACTTATTATTGTTTTTCTATCAGATACAGAACAATGGCAGTAGTAACCAGATTGACATGGAGTGAGGAGAAGAGTCTGGAGAAGATGCTTGGGAACGTGTCCTTGAGACTTCTTTATAAGTCTAGTGTTCATGAGAGTGACATTCATAGTATGAATGAAAAGTGCACTCATCAGAGACCTACTGTAACAATAATTTACGTTGGTAACATTGTTCTTGGGGTCTTTATGCTTGGGGATCATCCTGAAGTGCATGACAATTTAAAAAGGGCCAATCCTTCCTTCTATTTTTCGTTTCAAAAGAATGATGTAACTGCAATGAAAACTGCAGTTTTAGAAACAGAAACAAAAATTAACTCTGGACGACTGGTCTGTTATTCTTCTGGCCAAGAGGTGTTTTCTGTACATCCAGGCGAAAGCAGCTTTTCGATGAATGATTCATTAAGGAGTACTTTACACATACATTTTCGTTTTAGCAGCAAGTATTCGGAATGTGAAGTTTTTCACGTTGAAGGTATGTTAAATTAGATAATCCTCCATTCTGATTCTAGTATCTCGTTGTGTTCATGGGTCATAATTGAGCTGCAAGAACAAGGACAAATGAGAGGAAAGTCAGATTTCATGCCATCAGCTTTCTCGTTCATAAACTTCAAAATGAAACTTAGGGAGTGTGAAGGTTGTGAGGTATCACTTCGAATGTATAGGCAGCTTTGAGCAAAGCAAGCTGAGAAGTAGGAGTGGAGAATTGGAGAGGGAGAGCCGGCGAGGGCGGGGTTTATGTTGGCGCAATGACGGCTTTTGGGTCAGCTGTAAGATCTCTAGGTGTAGTTAGGTGAGAGTTTCCAGAACCAGTTACTGTGCAGGGAGGTTAATTTTCCCTTCTCTTCATGTGATGTTGCCAACTCTAGCTCCTAACTGGACAGCCCAGCCCTGGTTTGTGTAAGCAGACTCTCTGACCCATTCAGAAGGCACACTGGGGCATATTTAGCCGGGCAAGTTAAAAAGCTTATTATGCTGTTTCTTTCCTACAGGAATTGGGGATGATATAAACTACATAAGCAAGATAACAGGAGCCACCAAGTAAGTTAGGTTCTTGGACTATCTGTTACTTATTTTATTTAGGACACGTCTATAAATGGTGTTGGAAATGAACGAGTAAAATAAAGATCATATAAGTTGGAGTGATAAAAAATGAGTTATAATGTTATTTTATAATATGTTCAAGGCAATTTATGGCAACAACAGGGACAAAATCACTACCAACTGCAAACCTTTAAAATAATCTACCTGGTGATAGTTTGGCTTTATGTTTCACATTGGACTTGCTAGATTCAAAGTCTTCCAGACAGAAGAGTCTAGAGGACTGTTTCAGATAATTCCTGTGAAGGCTTTCCCTGGATATAAAGGTTTTGGGGGAGTTTCAGTAAGTTTTAAAAACAAAGCCTTCTTTCCCCAATCTATAGATAAATATCTGCATTGCATATATTTTATTTCTCCTTAATATAATATTATTACTGAAATAATGCTCATCTTCAGGGTTGTTGGAATTTGTTAGATCTGTGTGGTCTAACGCTCATAGTTTTTAACAGTGATTTGGTTGCTGGTTAATGTTTCTTTATTTGGTTAATATTTCTTTATTTGGATATAGATAAACACATTGTCTTCAAGCACAAAATGCATTAACTTTAGACCATTTCAAATCATATGATAGATGTTAATGCCAAGATTATAAGTAATGAAAACATACTTGTAAAGGGAAGGAAAGAAGCAGCAGAATTGCACTGTTCCTGTGAAAGTTTGGCTCTTGTCTTTAAGTATTGCGTGTTATTTGACAGGCACAGAAATTCACTTCTACTCGAACTCAGAACCTACAAGCCCTGTGTAGACTTTGTTTCAGAAATTCGTATTCTCTTGCTGGGTCCAGTTGGGTCTGGAAAGTCTAGTTTTATCAATTCAGTGAAGTCTGTTTTCCAAGGCCGTCTGACTCGCCAAGCCACAGTGGGGTCTGATGTCACCAGCATTACTGAACAGGTAAGTTGATTTAAGGATTTCCTGAGGATTTTGTTTTATTGATTATAATTTTCAGGTTTGTTCATTTCTTCACCATTTTCTCTTAGAACATTAACCTCCTCCTGATCCAAGCAATTAAATGCTAAATCAAATATAAAAAAGGAGCAAAAGTTGATTCAGAATTCCCTCCACTGAGTTGTGTTTCACTGAGAGGCTTTCCATTTTTATGCATGCAAGAAGTAGTAATTCGAAGAATGCTTTTTGGTACTTGTTAAAAAATTGCAATTGATAATTTTGGGGGGAAATAATTTTTTTTCATAAAAATGTCCTTTAGCTTAACATTGTAATATAGATTCATAATTGTATTTTAAAATGATTAAAAATATTTAATTTTTTTCTGTCTAAAATATTTATTATGTTAACTATCAATAGCTATAACCTACATAAATAAAATACCTTTGAGATTCTCAATAATTTTTAAGAGTGTCAGGTGATCCTGAGACCAAAATGTTTGAAGACCACAGTGTTAAAATATTAACCACTCTCTGTTCTTCCTATTGTCATGTCTTGAGTGCTAGTAGAAGAATGAATTTTTACCTTTGATATACTTTGTTTTATAGTATAGGATATATCCTATTAAAGATGGGAGACATGGCAAATACCTGCCATTTAGGTTGTGTGACTCCATGGGTCTACATGAGAAAGAAGGAGTAGGATTGTGCATGGATGACATACCCTACATCTTAAAAGGCTGCATGCCAGACAGATATCAGGTAAGAACTCTCCAATCTCTAAAACATTTAAAATCAGTTTCATCAATTGTTTTTGTTAAATTTTTACCCCATAAGGCAGTTTCAACTGTCATAAGGTATTTTCTTTTTTTTTTTTTTTTTTTTTTTATTTATTTGACAGACAGATCACAAGTAGGCAGAGAGGTAGGCAGAGAGAGACAGGAGGAGGAGGCAGGCTCCCTGCTGAGCAGAGAGCCCGATGCGGGACTCGATCCCAGGACCCTGGGATCAGGACCTGAGCTGAAGGCAGAGGCTTTAACCACTGAGCCACCCAGGCGCCCCCATAAGGTATTTTCAACATCAACCAACACTACTCTACTTTAAATGAATAAGTACTCAAATAAGTAAAATAGAGTAACTTATTTTCTAGAGCATTAAGAAAGAAAGCCTGGGGTGCATGGCTGGCTCTGTCCGTAGAACTCGTGACTCTTGAGTCTGGGCCATGAGTTCGAACCACACTGGCTGTGGTGATAACTTAAAAAAAAAAAAAAAGGTGATCTCAAAAGAAAAAAAAAAAAGGAGAGAAAGATCAGAAAAGAAATGCAGCCAAATTACTCATAAAGATTCCAGAAAAAGGACAGGAGGAGATTGTGTTTATATCATTCTTTATTGTAAAATAGATAGGAATGTTATATTTTAATCTCATGCACTTTTTTTGATCAATTAGACAAAATCTTGGAACAATTAACCACTTTTTGTCGAAGTGTGCTATTATTATACTCTAAGTACTTAGATTTCACTACTTAAATGCTACCTAATTACCTACGTCCAAAGGTTGGCTCTGCCACTAGTTGGATGTGTACCCATAAGCAAGTTACATACTTGTCTTTGTAAGTCTTACTTTTTTATGTATGAACTGTAGGTGATCATAATGCCCATTTCATAGGGTGCCTGAGAAGATAAATCAGATGATATACTTTTCATTCTCAAAAGGTCAACCATTATCATCACTTTTCTTTTAGGCATTGGTATAATACAATCTCTGAACAGTGACTTCTGTTGTGCTTGATTGGAAACCTTAACTATGTACTCATACATTTAAAAAAACCGTGATTAAAAACCTAATTTGTGGGGCGCCTGGGTGGCTCAGTGTGTTAAGCCTCTGCCTTCGGCTCGGGTCATGGTCTCAGGGTCCTGGGATTGAGCCCCACATCGGGCTCTCTGCTCAGCGGGGAGCCTGCTTCCTCCCCCTCTCTCTCTCTGCCTGCTTCTCTGTCTACTTGTGATCTCCCTCTCTCTGTCAAATAAATAAATAAAATCTTAAAAAAAAAAAAACGACAAAAACCTAATTTGTGCCAGATGCTATGCTGCTTACTGGAAACACAGGGTTGACTAAGAACATAATTTTTATCCTCACAATCTAAGGAGACATAAGATACAGGGAGGTGGAACAGAGCAGAGAAATGGGAGATATTGCGAGCCTATGAAAACCTTCATTTTTTACAACAGAGAAGACTCAATTCAGTCCAACATGGAAAAATATGGGAAAAAAATAACGAGTATAGCCCTTTACTATATTTTTATTTATTTATTTTTATATTTCTTATCTATCTATTTATTTTTTAAGATTTTATTTATTTATTTGAAAAAGAGGGGGAGCAGCAGGCAGAGGCAGAGGGAGAAGCAGGCTCCCCATTGAGCAGGGAGCTCTATTCCAAGACTCTGGGAGCATGACCTGAGCCCAAGGCAGCCGCTTAACCGACTGAGCCACTTAGGCGCCACCCCTCGCCCCCTCCCCCCCTTTACTGTATTTTTAAATCTATTTTCTTAATCCTAGAAAAATTCTTGTTCTGTGGTAAGGGGATACTAACTTAAAATTTGATATTTCTTCTGTTTCATTTTTATTTATTTTTCTTCTGCAAAATTAAGGAAACTATAGTATTTAAAAATGCATTTTCAATGTATTTTTCTCTTTCCTTTTTTTTCTATTAGTCCATTTAAGAACAGAAAATGTTTAGAGAGGGGCTCGTGGGTGGTTCAGTGGGTTAAGGCTTCTGCCTTCAGCTCAGGTCATGATCCCAGGGTCCTGGGATCGAGCCCCACATCGGACTCTCTGCTCAGCGGGGAGCCTGCTTCCCTTCCTCTCTCTCTGCCTGCCTCTCTGCCCACTTGTGATCTGTCTGTCAAATAAATAAATAAAATCTTAAAAAAAAAAGAAAGTGTTTAGTGAGAAATCTTAAATGATGTTTAACCAGTTGCAATGGTAGTTTTCTTTCTTTCTTTCTTTCTTTCTTTCTTTCTTTAGGCTGGGATTTGAGATTAGCTTTTTAAACATTATACTTTCCTGAGATATTTCCATTATGGATAATGTAAAGTGTGTGTAATTCTCATTTTCACCAGTGCAATGATGTGGTTTTTCTATAAGCAAGATATAATATTACACTCACAGTGGAGAGGAAGTATGGAAGGACACTACTAATTAACCTGGGGAAAGAGTGGGTAGAGGGAGGAAAGTTTCAGTTTGGAGGTTAGTGGTAGTCACATTTGAAGCATGAATGTGTCTTAAAGAACTCAGCAAAGACTCTCTAAATGTTATCTTATGTTTCTATAACAGTTGAACCCCAGTAGACCAATTACACCCAATCATCCTAACTTCATTGCCTCTCCGTCACTGAAGGACAGGATTCACTGTGTGGCTTATGTCCTAGATATCAACTCTATCAATGATTTCTCCTCTAAGATGGTGGCAAAGTTCCAACAAATTCAGAAAGAAGTCTTGAGCTATGGTGAGTCTAATTGTCCTTATCAAAAAACTTCTATTTTGAAATAATTACAGATTCACAGAAGGTTGCAAGGAGAGTTCAGAGAGGTCCTATGGACCTTTCACCCAGTTTCCTGAATCCCGGGTTGGTTGGTGGCAATAGCAGACAGAGGTCATTCATGTTTTTTGTTTTTTGTTTTTTGTTTTTGTCACATGTGCTTTTCCAGTGGCTTGATAGGGTGGTCACCTCCCCAGGTTATGTGACCTGACCAGGAAGATCAAACGCAGAAAAATGACACTGTTACAATGCAAGCGTGTGCTTCTGTATTGTTGAATCATATGTGTAGATTTAAAAGTAGTGAGTGGGTCTCTCTCACTTACAGTCTAGCTGCTTTTCAGTCTGTGGCTTTCTCACTGGATCTCAGCGACTGGGTTTGCGTGGGAGCCCTTGAAGATTGGGATCTCTGTTCTTCATAGGTCTGTGATTCTCTTGGTCTTAATCCCCACTGATTTTCAAGACCAGACATTTTGGGGCTTATCTTTTTGGTGCCAGCCCCCAGGGTTGGGATGCCTGATGTAAGGCACAGTCTCTTCGTCCCTTGAGAAAGAGGTCATATTTTTTTTGAGTCCCACCTGACTTTGGGGTCACTGCATCTGGAGTGGGGTGCTGGGTAAGGCAGTGTCTCTGCCTCTCATACCTTTCTGGATGCAGTTCTTGTTTTCGTGTGCGGAGGTGCTATTCATCTAGTTGTCGGGTCCTTTTCAGAGGAAAATTATTCTATATGTAGTTGTAAATTAGCTGTGTCTGTAGGTGGAGGTGAGTTCACAGTTTTCTTATGCTGCCATCTTTAATTCCTCCTCTACGGGCATTTTAGAATTATTTTGTCTATTTTCACAAAAAAAAATTTTGATTGGATATTGATAGTAATTACATTAAAAACATATAAATTTTGAGAGAATTGACATCTTTACTCTGTTGAGTTCTTCTAATCCATGAACATAATATATCTACCCATTTATTTAGATCTTTGATTTCTTTCAACAGTGCTCCACAGTTTTTAACTTTCAAGTCCTGTTCATATTTTACTAGATTTATACCTCGGTGTTTAATTTTAAAAAATGGTATCATATTTGTAATTTTGGTTTCCAGGTGCTTCTTGCTAGGACATAATTTACAATAGAATTTTGTACGCAGATCTTGTCTCTTGTGATCTTGCTGAACTCACTTATTAGTTCTAGGAAAGGTGGGTTTTTTTTTTTTTTTTCCATGCCATTTTAAACTGGGATAATTTTCTCCTTCTTTTTAATCTGCATGCCTTTTATTTCCTTTTCCTGTCATATTGTTCTGGCTAGAAGTTCCAGTACTATGTTGAATAATAGTGTTGATACCACATACCCTTGTGGTGTTTCTGATCTTAGGGGGAGAATAGTCAGTGTTTCACCATTATGAAGATAGTTATGAGTTTTTATTTTTTTAATTTTTTTTTTACAGTTCTTTGTTAGTTTGAGGAAGTTCTCTGTTCTTAGTTCTCTGAGCGTTTTTGTTCATGAATGGATGTTGAATTTTATCAAATAGTTTTTCCCCACAGTTTGACATAATCCTGAAATTGATCTTTGTCTTCTTAATATGGAGGATTACATTAATTTTTGAATCTTGAACCAGCCTTGTCTCTTTAAAATAAAACCCGTGTAATCATGATGTATAATTCTATTTACATTTGCTGTCTTATTGATAATGTTTTATTAAAAAATATTTGTATCTATATTTATGAGGGATATTGGGCTGTAGTTTTTTGTTTTTGTTTTTGTTTTTATTTTTCCAGATGTTGTCAGGTTTTGGTGTCAGAGTAACACTGGCTTCATAAAATGAGTTAGGAAATGTTCCTCTTCCATTTTCTTGAAGGGATTATAAAGAATTGGTGTTATTTCTCTTAAAATATTTGTTAGAGTCTTTCAATGAAATCATCTAGTGTGGAGATGTATTTTTCAGTTTTTTTTTTTTAAGATTTTTTATTTACGTATTTGAGAGAGAGAGAATGAGAGAGAGAGAGCATTAGAGGGAGAAGGTCAGAGGGAGAAGCAGACTCGCTGCTGAACAGTGAGCTGGATGCAAGACTTGATCCTGGGACTCCAGGACCACGACCAGAGCCGAAGGTAGTCGATTAACCAACTGATCCAACCAGATGCCCCTTTTCAGGATTTTTAATGACCAGAATTTAATTAATAAATTAAATTTTGGGCATTAAATTTTTTTGTAGCGACAAAAAACTACAACCCAAAATAGTTAGCAAGCTATTAAAATAATTTGTTTCATATTAGGTGAGTTGGGATAGTTTTGTAATTTTTAGTTCAGTCTTTTCCACCTAAGTTGTCAAATTTATGTGTGTAAAATTGTTCGTATCATCTCCTCATTATTTCTTTTCTCTCTGTGGGGTCTGTAAGGATATCCCCTGTGTCCTTCATCATGTTGGTGATTTATGTCTTTTCTTTTGTTTCTCTGTCACTATTTCTAAAGGTTTGTCAATTCTATTGATCTTTTCAAGGATCTATGTTTTTGTTTCATTGATACTTTAAATTGTTTTCCTGTTTTCAATTTGTTCATTGATTTCTGCTGTTTAATTTCTTTCATCTTCTTGATGTGGATATACTTTGCTTTCTTTTTTCTAAGTTTTTGAGGAGAGGAACTTAGATTGTTGATTTTGGACTTCTCTTTTCTATTATAAACATTGAATGTTACATGTTTTTCTGTAAACACTTGTTTAGTTATGTACACAATTTTTGATATGTTATATTTTTATTATCTTCCATTTAATGTATCTTTTATTTCCCTTGAAACTTCCTTTAGGACTCATGGATTATTTAGAATGTATTGTTTAGTTTTTAAGTGCATGGAGTTTTTCTCGTTACCATTCTGTTATTGACTTACAATTTGATCCATTATGGTCAAAGGATACACTCTGATTTAAATTCTTTAAATAGGTTTTGAAGTTAAATTATGGCTTAGTCTATAGTATATTTTGGTAAATGCTCCATGGTACTTAAAAATTATGTGTATGTTCTACAAGTGTTGATTAGATAGGTTTTCTTGGTTTTTGGTATGACAAGTGATTCTTGATTATACCTTTAATATTTGGGATATTATACTGTGAGACCCTGGATCTTATTTATTTATTTATTTTTCTTTTTTAAAAAAGATTTTATTTATTTGAGAGAGAGAGAAAGAGAAAGCACAAGTTGGGGGGAGGGAGAGGGACAAGCAGACTCCACACCAAGTACAGAGACAAACTCCGGTCTCCATCTGAAGACCCCGAGTCCATGACCCAAGCCAAAATCAAGAGTCAGATGCTCAACTGAGTTGGCCTCTTCTGACACTGGTAAAGAGGGAGGGGGCACACTATTACTGATGGTTGGGGTGGATGACTGGAATCCCCGAGTAGTATCCATTGATACCATCAAGAGGGACCTAGCACAGTACAGGTATCAAAGTCCTGGCTCCCTACCCATTCTTATTCTATGATACTATCCTGGCAGAATATGGAGGATAGAGAAGGGAAGTGACACTTCTGTGAATGCGACTGAGGTTCTTTCATGGTGTTTGGCTGGCATAGTGTGGCTACTGTGTGAAAGTTTTTTGTCTTGTTAGGTTGCTCCTTTTCTCATGCTTGGCAAGATACAACAGACTTCCTGCCTTCTCCACCCCCCAGTCCTTTCCCTTTCCTTTTCCCTTCCCCTTTTGTTCCTTTCTTTCCTTTTCCTTTCACCAGTTCCAGTTCGCTTTCCCTAGAGGTGTACTTCTCTAGCTGCCAATATAGGATTTATGAAGTAAAAAGAAAAGCTAGAGAACTCACCACCATATTATGATTGTAATAATGAACTAGCAAAAAGCGAAATTGAGAAAATAGTCTTTTACAATTACATCAAAAAGAATAGAGTATCTAAGAATAAATTTAACCAAGGAAGTGAAAGACCTGCATACTGAAAACTGTAAGACATTAATGCAAGAAATTGAAGAAGACACAAATAAATAGAAAGATATTCAGTACTTAGGGATCAGAAGAATTCATATTAAGGTGTGCCTACTCTCCAAAGCAATGCACAGATTCAATGCTATCCTTATCAAAATTCCAATAACATTTTTTACAGAAATAGAACAAATAATCCTAAAATTTGTATGGAACCACGAAAGACCCCAAATAGCCAAAGCAATCTTGAGAAAGAAGAACAAAGCTGGAAGCATCATGTTCCCTGATTTTAAATTCTATTACAAAATCATAGTGATTTTTAAAGTATGGTATTAACATAAAAATGGACACATAGATCAAGAGAAGAGAATAGAGAGCCCAGAAATAAATCCACACATTTTAGTCAATTAATTTATGACAAAGGGGCCAATAATACCCAGTGCGGAAAGATAGTCTCTTCAATAAATGGTGTTGAGAAAACTAGACAGCCACATGCAAAAGAATAAAACCCAACCACTGTCTTACACCAGAAACAAAAATGAACTCAAAATGCATTAAATTCTTGAATGTTAGGCCTGTAATCATAAAAGAAAACATAGGTGGTAAGCTCTTCACGGTAGACCTTGGAGATGATTCACTGACTCTCACATTAAAAGTAAAAGCAACAAAAGCAAAAATAAACAAATGAAACTGCAGCAACCTAAAAAGCTTCTGCACAGCAAAGGAAACCATCAACAAAACAGAAAGGCAGCCTACTGACTAGAAAAAAATATTTGCAGATCATATAACTGATAAGAAATAGGTATCTAAAATATTTAAAGGGGTGCTTGGGTGGCTCAGTCAGTTAAGCGTCTGACTCTTGATTTTGGCTCAGGTCATGATCTCAGGGTCCTGGGATAGAGCTTCACGTTGGGCTCTGCACTCAGCAGGGAGTCTACTCAAGGATTCTCTCTCCCTCCATTCTTTGCCCCTTCCCCATACCTCTTTCTCTCTCTGTAATAAATAAATCTTAAAAAAATAAAATATGTAAGAATCCATATCATCAAAAACAAAACAAAACATAAAAGCAATCTAATTAAAAATGGGCAGACAATGAGTAAACAGCTTTCCAAAGAAGACATACAGAAGGTCATCAGGTACCTGTAAAGATGCTCAACATCATTAATCATCAAGGAAACACATAATAAAACCACAGTGAGGTATCATGTCACACCTGATAGAACAGCTATTATCAAAAGAAGATCAGAAATAACAAGTACTGGTGAAGATGTGGAAAAAAGGGAATGTGTGTACACCATTAGTGGGCACATAAATTGGTGTGGCCATTATGAAAATAGTACAGAGTTTCCTTAAAAATTTAAAAATAAAACTACCATACAATATGGGTACTTATCTGAAGAAAATGAAAACACTGACTCAAAAAAATATATGCACTCCCCCACCATGTTCGTTGCAGCACTATTTACAATGGCCAAGATATAAGAACAACCTAACGGTCCATCAGTGGATCAATGGATAAAGAAGATGGGGTGTATACACACAAACACACACACACACTCACTCCCACACACAGGAATATTATTCAGTCACAAAAAAGAATGAAATCTTGCCCTTTGCAACAACCCTGGTGGACCTCAAGGGCATTATGATAAGTGCAGTAAGTCAGACAGAGAAAGATGAACACCAAATGAGCTCTCCTATATGTGAAATGTTTAAAAGAAAAAAAAAAAGCTCATAGAGACAGAGTAGAGATTAGTGGTTACCAGACGTGAGGAAATGGAGGTGGGAGAAATAGGTGATGGGTATAGGTGGTCGAACGGTAAAAAGACTTTTAAAAAAGAGAATTGTTTGGTCATTTATACTCTAGAGCCTCTTCTTTAGTATATCAGTAGAAATACCACTTAACATAGAAAGCTGCACAGTGTAATGTACAGAGGATTGTCTTAGTGATGAAGTAAATCTAGATTTTTTAATAGTCATAACTTGATCTTGTGAAAGTTAACTTCAGGGGACTGAACTTTAGTTTCCTGTGTAATGGGAATAAGTTCTGAATCTAAATATTGTAAGATTGTAATATTTAAATATTATAATCTAAATTTTGTAGTAAGTACATTAGATGTACTCAATGTAAGTATATAAACATACACAGATCTATTTCAGTTTACAATGGGCTTAGTGTAATTTGAGAATGCATTTATTTATTTATTTATTTATTTTTAAAGATTTTATTTATTTAGTTGACAGAGAGAGACACAGAGAGAGAGAGGGAACACAAGCAGGGGGCAGTGGGAGAGGGAGAAGCAGGCTTCCCGTGGAGCAAGGAGCCCAATGCGGAGCTTGATCCCAGGACCCTGGGCTCATGACCTGAGCCAAAGGCAGACACCCAACTGACTGAGCCACCCAGACACTCCCTAGAAATGTATTTAATGCGCCTAACCTACCAACATTGCAGCTTAGTGTAGCCTGTCTTAAGCATGCTGGGAACACTTACGTTACCCTGTAGCTGGGCAAAATCATGTAATGCAAAGCTATTTTATAATAAAGTGTTGAGTATCTCATGTCATTTATTGAGTGCTGTAGTGAAAATGAGAAAAAGAATGGTTGTAAGTTTATAAGTTGTTTACCCTGTGGTCACGTGCTGACTAAGAGGTACTACACTATGTATCACTAGCCCCAGAAAAGGTCAAAATTCCAAACTTGGAAGTATGGTTTATTCCAAATTCATAATGCTTTTGCACCATCGTTAGGTCAAAAAAATCTTAAGTTGAACCATCTGAAGTCAGGGACTGTCTGTATAAGCATGTAACAGCTCTAAAACGATGGTGGATTTGGGCTAAGACTGATTTACAAAGTGCTGAGGTCTGAAATGTTTTTCTCAAGGACATCTGGCCACACTCCATGCTGGGCAGCATGGCTTTGTTCATCTAACTAGGCTGATTTAGACCCTCTAAGAAAACATTGCATTAATTCTGAAAGAGAAGAATTGCATTTTAGCAGAAGTTGAAAAGAAATTATATGTGTCAATTGAGAACTGCCTTCTACACAAACCAGGTTTTATTTAATTGGCCAACCTTGTTAGTTATTCCTCTGGAACTTGGATAAAAGGAAGAGGGTAAAACAATCACGTAGGAATAGGGATCACAAACACTAGATTTATGTAAGGGGAAAATACTAAAAGCTCTGGTAAAGAAGTCTCTCAGGGGTATCCTTGAATGGCATTTGGAAATTTCGGGTTTATTTTTTCTCCTGGGAAAGCGTTCCTTAGTAAAGCAGAACTTTGATTTGATTAGAAGCCAACTGGGAGAGGACAAGAGGTCCTTAGTAGATTTCCAATCCTCACATATAACCTTCCTCACTTTCTAGGGTTCTTTTTCAGTCCTCAGTGTCCAGCAACCACTCGCCCCCTCCACCCCCCTGATCACCTTAAAACATATTATTTGGAATAATAGATGATTGCAATGCAGTGTGAATTTAGTTGCATTTAGAAATGATCTCTCTGCTGGAAGAAAAAGATCATTTCTCCTATCAGAAGAACTTCAGGTTTCATATTGACATTTACTAGGGATATTTCCTTTTTTTAGGAGAGCTGCTTTCACTCATACTTAATCTCTTTGTTGAAACATTGCTATTTATGATACAAAATAACTGATTTATCTCTTTGATATAGATACAGCCTGTGTACTCTTGCTTACTAAAGCAACTAATTGCGGTGAATTTTTTCAAGGCAATTTTTCAAACATGGATAAACCTATGACTTTCCAGAGCCAGGTAAAAAATATATTTCTAACCAGGCATTATTGTGATGGTGTTATATTGTGTGTATGTGTGTGTGTGTCTGTGTGTGTGTGCATGCACTCATACTATGTATTCATAGATAAATAAAGACATGGATTGATTGCCTTGTTAATTCAAGTTTATGTCCCACTTTAAAACAATAATTATTTGTATTATAATTATATTCAAAAGAGTAGTTTTCTTTTTGCTTTTTCAGTTTCTTTCTTGAATTATATTTGAATTCAGTCAATTTTCAGATATGAGTTATGCTTATTAATTTTTCCACAGATAATGGATGCCAGCAAAATGTTAAATGTTCCTATTTATAATACATTCGTGATTGAAAATTACACATCAGAGTGGGAGCTGGACCCTGTAAAGGACACTCAGATCCTCTTTGTGCTGAGGCAGATGTTACGGGTAGCAGAGGACTTCTTTGAGGACTTGCTTTGAGGAAACAGGTGATCTGGCCTCTTTCTGTCCCTCTCATAAAGCATGGTGCTTTTTGAAAATCCCATGGTTCAACCTCGCCGGATGACTGATGCCCATTAGCTGGCTCTAGACCTGATAGTTATGTGAGGATATGTGCTTAGCTTCTATTTTTTTAAATTTTGCTCTCAGATAAAATTGTAGGAATGTTCCAGCTCTGCATGTGACATCATTTGTCTTGGTTTTATTACTTGCCCCAACCCTGGACTGGCAGGACTCAATGGGAGTCATTGTCTGGTGACAGCCTCCTTATGACTTCTGCTTTCACTCATGTTTTGCCTTCAGTCCCTGAGAGCGTCTAATGGTTTCTTCTAGAATCTGTCCTTCCTCAAGCTCAAAGGTCAACCCTGAGCAGTGGTGGGCCAAGAAATGCAAACCACCATTTGGGAATTTAATTTCTGTGACAATTTTCTCAACCTCCCCAGCAAAATGGACTATCCCCTTACTTATTTGTCTATAGCACTTTATTTAGAACACTATGTGAGTACTAATACATTGAATAATCATTTTAAAATGGTTACTTGGATATCCACTTCCCTAAATAAATTGTGAGTTCTTTAGGAAGCAGTGTTTGGATTTTACATACCTTTGTATTCACAGAACTTAGCACAGTGTCTTATAGTGAGCAAGCATGCCCGCCATTATGCCTCTCTCCCAACTTCCCCAGGGTGATAACATGTACTGAAAAATTTTCTTCTTGTAGAAGGGAAGACTGGAAGAGAATAACATGCTGGAGAGAAGAAATGGACATGAAGGAGGGAGAATGTTTTACTTATCTTTGGCTGAAGATATGAATTTAAGCTAATTAAAAAGAACAGATATTTCCTAAGGACTTACATGTTATTTCTGTAAAAAAACCACAAAATTTTCATTAATCAATTTCAAACCATCCTGCCATGTCTCCCAAGTAGAGTGATCAAATAAGGTTACTAGTGCAAGTCAAGAAGAAGGTTATCTGGGGCGCCTGGGTGGCTCAGTGGGTGAAAGCCTCGGCTCAGGTCATGATGCTCTCTGCTCAGCGGGGAGCCTGCTTCCTTCTCACACTGCCTGCCTCTCTGCCTACTTGTGATCTCTGTCTGTCAAATAAATAAATAAATAAAATCTTTTAAAAAAGAAGAAGGTTATCTTATACACATGCCCCCAAATGGTTTTAAATTCCTCTGGGTAGCTGTAGAAATGAGCACTATTAGTAAAGAAAAAAAGATTTTCAGAAGAGAAGTTTTGGGTTTTCTGCCTAAAGCCCTAACTCTCTTTTCCAAATTTCTTAGTATTTTTCAAATGAATATGCTTTGGCTCAATAGTTATCTATATTAAAGCCATCTAATGTAGTTTTAGTCAGAATTACTGTCTTCTTTGGGAAACTAGGAATACTAGAGATTTTGTGTGGTGGGTGGGTGGGATGGGCTGTGGCATTAAAAAGTGACTGTTTTGAACTTAAGTGTGTCTATTGGCAGAGGAATGGATAAAGAAAATTTGGTATGCTGGGGCGTCTGGGTGGCTCAGCCGTTAAGTGTCTGCCTTTGGCTCAGGTCATGATCCCAGGGTCCTGGGATTGAGCCCTGCATTAGACACCTTGCTCAGTGGGAAGCCTGCTTCTCCCTTTCCCACTTCCCCTGCTTATGTTCTCTCTCTCTTGCTGTTTGCTGTATCTCTCTGTCAAATAAATAAATAAAATCGTAAAAAAAAAAAAAAGAAAATTTGGTATATATATTTACACACACACACACACACACACAGATACACACACACCCTGGAATATTATTCAGCCATAAAAAAGAAGGAAATTTTGCTATTTGAGACCGTAATCTCACTTATATGTGAAATCCTAGAAAGCCTAACTCATAGAAACAGAGTAGAATGGTGGTTGCCAGGGGCTGAGGAATGAGGGGAATGGGGTAATATTGGTTGAAGGGTAAAAAAATCCAGTTACAAGATGAAAATTGCTAGGAGAGTAGATCCTAAATGTTCTCATCACATGTACAAAAAAGGTAATTATCTGAGGTAATGGATGATGGATGTTAACTAACCTTATGGTGGCAACTATTTCACAATATATACATGTATCAAATCATTGCATTAAATAACTTACCTAATTTTATATATCTTTCTGTTTGGTTTTTCTGGGGATTTTTATTTATTTGGTATTAAAATCCACTGGTTCCTGATTAACCCATGAAGTCTGGAAACAAATTTCTTGAGTCTTATTTATTTATTTTAATTTTATTTAATTTGTTTAGTAATTTCAAGTTTTCATTTAAATTCCAGTTAACACATAGTGTACTATGAGTTTTAAGAGTAGGATTTAGTGATTGATTACTTACATATAACAACCAGTGCACATCACAACGACTGCCTTTCTAGTCCCCATCACCCATTTAACCCATCCCCTGCCCACTTCCTCTCTAGCAACCATCAGTTCTGGATAGTTAGGAGTCTGTTTATATCAATTATATCAATCTGAGCAAGGTGGAAACTGGCATACTACCTGTAAGTCTTTGCAAAATCTTGTGATGTTGGAAAAAATGCAGACCACTGGGGGCAGCCAGACAATAGAATTAGGATTATGGCCAATATCCAGCTGCTTGCCCCCCACATGCTTTCCCAACACAGCTCACACAATGGTTTTGAGCTGGTTCCAGACTCGGGGACAGGAATAACAGTGTCAGCAAAAGTGCAGGTAGAGATTGTAGGAATGGGGGTGGAGATGGCAAAGAAGAAGAACAAGAACAAGAAGAACAAGCTATGTTAAATAATGGTGTGTAAATATAATGGTCGAAGTTTTAAAACAATTTCTCTTTGAGAGAGCGAGAAGACGCATGCACAAGTAGGGAGGAGGGGGGTGGGCAGAAGGAGAGGGCAAAAGAGAATCTTAAGTGGGATCCATGCCTCGTGTGGAGTCCTATGTGGGGCTTGATCTCACCACTCTGAGATCATGACCCAAGCTGAAATCAAGACCCGGACGCGTAACCAACCCAACCACCAGTTGCCCTCCAACACAAGTCCTTAGAGGGGACCTGTCACACCTCTGAGCTCATGTTGGGGGTTGGTGTCTTCCAAAAGCTCAAGGAAAAGAGAGCTGGGAATATTAATTTCTGGAAGGTGATTGTTCATTCAAATGATATAATTCATGAGCAAGGGCTACCTGAATTATGGATTATTTGTGTGTGTAGGGGGGTTGGAGGCAGGTTTGAAACTCTGCCTTAAATGCCAATTCTATCTTAGAAGAATATGAGCTAACTAGAGGCTACCAAGTGATCTTTTCTACCATCTCCATGTCTCATTTCTTTATCATTAAGGCGCTAAGCCATTTTTTTTTAAAAATTTCTATTCCATTGATGTTACAAGTAATTTGTCAAACATGAAGATTCCTGGCTTCTTTAGTGAACTGAAAGCTGTTTGCCAAGCGATGTTAGATCCTCCCGCTTCAGTCTGAGTTCTTGAGACGGTCTGCAAAATGAAAAAGAATCTCCTGCTTGTTTGAGTCAGGGAGAATTGGGACCTGACCATGGGGAGGTTTTCAGATGGTGGTGACATGGCCCTTAACACTGGCTGATCTCCAAAAGCGTTCAGTATTAGCTCAGCGTTCTCTGTTTGGGATCCTGGCTCCTCTGGCACAGCTTGTCAGAAATCTTTTTTTTTTTTTTTTTTTTTTTTTTTTCCCCCAGAAATCTGTCTTCCCCCAGCAAGCAATGCAGAAAACAGTGGACCCGGATGAGAGGAAGTCAATTGATAGCAGAGAAGTGGATGAGTTTGAGGCATGCGCCCTGGAGTAGGAATTAACAGCACTTTTTTTTTTTTTTTTTTTTTTTTTTTGTATTTCAACATACAGAAACGGATTGAATTTTTCTTTAAAGAAGTCGCTTAAAAATCTAGTGGGCCGTTAGGTTTTCGTCTCTCTTACTTCAATTATTTGATTCTCCTAATGTTTTTATTTGACCCGACTGTGTAAATTTAACTGGAGCAGTTCCTGTCTCCCCTCCCTGCTCCTGGGCGGGAGGAAGCTGGCACTCTGCCCAGGGGGCGGGGCCTTACTAAGTTTCATTTTCCTCTTCTCCGAGTGCCTGAACCTCGGAGGCTGCTGAAGAATGTTCTGTGTGGATTTCTGAGTCTGCTTAGCCGTCCAAACAGAGCAGCCACACTCAGCCTCAGTCCTTGTAGAGGGTCTACAAACAGGTAAACGACTTGCTGCTTTCCACTTTTCCTAGCCACTTACCAATAATAGTCTTTCTTAATTAAAAAAAATTTTTTTTTAGAAAGAAAAGCGAGTTAATTTTTCTGTTATCTGCTCATCCTCTTTTTACTCACCTTAAGTGTAATGTAGAGTACGTAAGAGGCACATATACAAGCTTCATGCCGGGATGTGTTACCTGGTTTTCAATATTTAATGGAAAGTATGTTTGATTTCCTGCTAGATTGAGAAGCATGGCAATGGCGACTCGTTTGACGGCGATGCAAGAAAAGAAGCTGCAGAATTATTTTGGAGGAAAACGGTTTACCCTTCTCTATAAAGCTAGTGTCCATGAATTCTCTGGATATAATTTTCTTAAGAGATGCTGTGGCCAAGGGCCTACTTTGATGGTGATTTATGGTGGATGTTTTGTTTGGGGGGCCTATATAAGAGAGAATTATAAGAGAGATGACACAGTTCCCGTTGTCCTTTTTGCCTTTCAAGAGAATGAAATTTCAGAATGTGATGTAGGTGCGTGCTCACCACCTACATTTCTTAATGAATATAGTGTAAGATGGAATAGTAGTTCAGGGTTCCTCCTAGATCTGAGGGAAAAAAAAGTGACTGTGAACTTAGATGCAGCTAAAAAACTTGGACTGCCTCAAAATCAACCTATTTCCTTTGAGGAATGTGAAGTTTTTCGTTGTGAAGGTAAGTTTAATCAGATAGGCCCATACAGAGTTCTCTCCTGAATGTTTGGAGGATTTGAGGCAACCCATCTCTTTAAGGAAAGAATGTCCTTATCTCTGGGTGACCCAGACTGAACCCGGGCCACACCTCTTTTGCTGAGACCCAACCGTGGTCAAAAGTAGCATATACAGAATTTTCTGGAGTGTGTTTGTGTGGGGGATGGGGTAGGGGAGAGGGAGGGAAGGTAGAAGGAGAAGGAAGCGGGGAGAGGCAGCAAACTTAAAGACTGTGAGATTCTTTTGGAATGAAACCAAACCTCAAACTTCTCTTGACTGGTACTAGATCCTGCAATTTCCCACTGTATCCATTATATTAAAAGACCAAAATGAATTTACTTATTTTTCTGCTAAAGGACATTGTTTTCAATATTTGCTGTTATAAACAATGCTTTTGTAATGTATTTGTGAATATAACTGTGCACAAAAATACTCTTTATAGTAACTTCCTGGAAGTGGGTTTGTTGTTTAAGAAAGATTTACATTTGCACTTTGATAGACACATCTCAAAGGCTTTTATACTTTTCCCAAGAGTGCTATAGAAATGCCTGTTTCCCTGTCTTCTTGCCAATATTTGATATCATCAGACTTTGGAATATTTGCAATTTGATGGTCAAAAGATGGTTTCCCATTTTCTTCTTTGCTTATTCCTGATTATTAGCAAGTTTATGTGTATTGGCCATTTACATTTCATCTCTGAAATAGTTATTTATGTCTATCCATTTAAAAGAAGGGGCCCTGGAAATAATATCCTCTTGAATATTTGCATGTTCCAAACTAGTTGTCTGTGGTCTTTATACTTGAATGATCACCAGAGTACACAATTCTTTGGGGATTTGTAATGTTTTCACAGTACTAATATTGCTGTTGAAAACCTAGGGCCAGACTTACTTATTTGTTTTTATTGTTTTCTTTTGAATGATTAGATCTTACTTCCTGGCTGCCTCAAACATCTAAAAATTTTGTTGATGTCTGGTCAGTTTACTTGGATATGTCATGATGTTGACAATCCTGGATAAGTTAAGGAAACTTTTATTGAGGTATAACACATAAACAGAGAAATGCACAATTGATAAATGTACCAATCAACAAACTTTTATTAACTAGACACACTAATGTCGCTACTACTAGGATGAAGACATAAGATTATTATCATCATTTCAAAAAGCTCCTTGCTGATTCTTCCTGGTTATTACCAACCAAAGATTACTATTACTTTGGCTCATCAACACTAATTACTTCTTCTTTTTGAATTTTATATATGTGGAATCATATCACAATGTGTACTCTTGTGTGTCTAGCCTCTTACATTCAATATTATGTTTGAGGGATTGAGCTAAACAAGGGAGTGGATTATAAAATCAGACCTCTACAATTCGGATATCTTACCCAGTATCAGGCTTGACTAATCATTTCATGGATAAGGATAAAAGCAGTCAGAAATCTCAGAGAAGGCAGAAAGGGTACAAGAATATTCTGCATGGTTCCTAGGATCTTCCTTTGCATATTAGACATATGCTTTCTGGATAAAACAACAGGCAGCATTGTAAAACAACCTGCCTGTTGTTTTTTTGAACTTTGTGGGTCACCTTACGTACTAAAGAGTGGTTACATTATGGAACATTTATATGTCAGTGCTATGGATTGAATGTTGCCCCCAACCAAGACTCATATGTTGAAGCCCTAACCCCCTGTGTGACTATACTTGGAGATGCGACCTCTAAGGAAGTAATTAAGGTTAAATGAGGTCCTAAGAGTGGGGTCTTAATTCAATAGGATAAGCATTCATATAAGAAGGGACACTTGAGAGCTTACTCTCTCTCCTTGAATATACAAGAAGAGATCATAGGAGAACACAGTGAGATGGCGGCCACCTACAAGACAAGGGAAGAGGCCTCAGGATGAAATCTACCTTGCTGCCCAGTGATCTTGGACTTCTCAGCTTCCAGAACTGTGAGAAATAAATTTTGTGCTGTCCTAGTTTATGGTATTTTGTATGGCAGCCTGAGCAGACTAAAACAATCAGCTTACATGACATTCCCATGAAGACAAGCCTCATAAATCCACAGAATCTGTAAGCCTTCGTGTATATGTGTTTTGGTTCACACATTCATATTGTTTAAAGAATACGTATACAAAATTTCTGGGTCATTGGATTGGTGTATGCTCAGCTTCAGTGGATACTGACAAAGCTTTCCAACATAGTCATACCAGTTGCCCTCACCACAGCAGTATATGAGAGTTTCTGTCACTTCTAAATTTTTCCCAACACTTCTTGTTACAATATGTAACCATTTTGGTACATGAACTGTGGCATGATATTTTGTGAATCTGGTTCACTTTGATTAGACCAGTCAGTAATTTATTTTACAGTTTAAGCCAATTACTATATTAATTTATCCTTTTTCAACTTATAAAATTTGCCTTGTATTTTGGTTAATTCCTTCTAATATTTCTAAGGTTTGTTTCTGTAGTCTTTTCTGTTTCTATTTTCAATTTTCAAAACTTTCCTTCTTTCTTGTTATTAACAAAGTATACTTTTATCACAAGATTGATATAAAGTGTTTATATTCTGGTTATCTTCTATATATTTAGTTTTGATTTTGAATTTCCTTTTGGATGTTAAAGTTAAGAGGTGCTTTGTAAAAGTCCAAGAAGTGGCTTTTATCTCCGTGTACACTTAACTCTTCTCTCATTTTATTATAGTCATTGTATGTAGTCTTTACTATTTTTACTTTTGGTCATTTAAAGGTTTTCAGTCCATATGTGTAGCCATATTTTTAAATGTTTCACACAGTATTTTTTTGTAGTGTAGAGAATTGCCAGCTTCACTACACCTGATCCTTTCAGTTTTTTTTTTTTTAAAGATTTTATTTATCATTTATTTATTGTAGAGAGAGGGAGGCTGAGTGAGCGAGGGAAGGAGAGGGAAAATCCACTGCAGGTGCTATGTGGGGCATGGAGCCTGACCTGGGCTCCATCCCACTACTGGGAGATCATGACCTGAGCGGAAACCCAGTCAGTCATGGAACCCATTAAGCCATCCAGACACCCTGCAGCTGATCCGTCCAGTTTTTTTTTTTTTTTAAGATTTTATTTTTATTTATTTGACACAGAGAGAGAGAGAGATCACAAGTAGGCAGAGAGGCAGGCAGAGAGTGGTGGGGGTCAGGGAAGCAAGGCTCCCTGCTGAGCAGAGAGCCCGATGTGGGGCTTGATCCCAGGACCCTGAGATCATGACCTGAGCAGAAGGCAGAGGCTTAACCCACTGAGCCACCCAGGTGCCCCTGATCCGTCCAGTTTTAAATCTACCACCGAAGAGTATCTCTTCACAGGAAGTGAAATTCTGGGCCTGGGTCTCACTGGTTCACATAAAGTCCTCGGCTCTTGCCTGAACCACTCACTGTGCTCTGATTGGGTGAGGGATGCGTCCTGCACTCTCTTTGGAGCCACAAAGAAAATCAATTGGACTGGAAGTTCCAGGAACTCCAGCTGTAGATAGTAGGTTTTAGAGAAGATTTGGTGTCTGTGGTTTTTTTGTTTGTATCTCTGTATATTATCCTTTTCAAGCCTCTTGGATTATGGAGAGCAACTATTTTAAAGTATTCCCAGTCTTTCCTTGGCCTGTCCCCCTGCCTTTATGCCTTGCTTCTCTGATTCAGAAAGGACCCCAGTTCTCATTTCCCATGTTGGCGCAAGCCACATCCTACTGCTGAGTAATTGGGTGAGAAGAGATCTGTGGGCAATCTAGTCTTACAGTGCCCACCTTGCCTCTAGCACTAGATTCTTCAAAAGAGATGTTAAGGAGATTTGCAGAATTTTCTCCACTTGCTTTCGTTGTACTGTGCTGCTGTCATGGAAAAGCTATTTCTGTATTTTACCCTAGTGAATGCATTGACATTCAGTTAAATTGTCATTCAACAACTTGTGCTTTTCATTTTTCTTTATTTCCCTAGATTTATTGGATAAAAGAATCATGAAAGGGATTACTCAGTAAGTCAATGTCAATTAAAATCATGTTTTTATTATAAATATTATATATTGTATATTATAAAATAAGTCAATTAAAATAATGTTCTGTTATTCTGTTTATTATCTTAGACTTATTTTTTATAGGTTCTGTCAAATTGGTAACAGATTATAACATAACTTTTGGATCATCAAGAATAAACTGTAATTATATTTATAATCATAAAACTATTTGATAATACCAATGTTAAAACAGAAAGATTGCCGGGTAAAGGGAAAGCACTCCTAACGTTTTTATATACTTGAAGGAAAATAATTATTTGGCAGCATGTCTACATTTTTGCTTAGACTTCTTGAAGTTACAGTTTCAACTACTTTAGGGAATTGCGTTGGAAAGGGTGGCTGGTAGGTAGAGGATACTTAAATGAACTTCAAGAACATGTTAGAAATTATCTACTTACATAAACTTCAAAAGTCACACGTTATGTTGTGCTTTTTGAAATTTATTATTGAAAAGTTATCCTCGTAACACAGTTCATATTTATTATTAGGCTTATATGAACTGGTTGCTTAAATCTGAAAGGTTTTGTGTCTGATTGGCTTTAGTTGTGTTATTTTTGCTTTTTTCTTCTTTTATGGTAGGATTTGAAGTAGGATAGTTGCTTGTCCTTTCTTTTCTTTTTCTTTTTTTTTTTTAAGATTTATTTATTTATTTATTTGACAGAGAGAGAGATCACAAGTAGGCAGAGAAGCAGGCAGAGAGAGAGAGAGGAGGAAGCAGGCTCCCTGCTGAGCAGAGAGCCGGATGTGGGGCTTGATCCCAGAACCCTGGGATCATGACCTGAGTCGAAGGCAGAGGCTTTAACCCACTGAGCCTCCCAGGAGCCCCTGTCCTTTCAACAGGAAAGCAAGTTGCTAATCAAAAAGAAATAATAATATATAAGAAAAGAAAAAGAATTCTAGGAAAACTTATGGTAAGTTCTTGTGATGTACTCTCTGTTGTTATAATTGTCTGTCTGAACAGACTCCATGAGAGATTATTGGATGACATGAGAACCTACAGTTCATATGGAGGCCTTGTTCACCAAATACGGATTCTGCTCCTGGGTCCCACTGGGGCTGGGAAGTCTAGCTTCTTCAACTCAGTAAAGTCTGTTTTCCGAGGCCATGTAACACACCAGGCTCTGGTGGGCTCTGATACAACTGGGGTATCTGGCAAGGTATGTCCATTCAAAGTCACTCAGCCTTTGCTTCTTTGTTCAAGTTAAGTAGTTTGGAAAATTCTTTTTTTTTTTAATTTTTAATTTTTTAAATTTCTTTTCAGTGTACCAGAATTCATTGTTTATGCACCACACCCAGTACTCCATGCAGTACGTGCCCTCCATAGTACCCACCACCAGTCTGACCCAGCTTCCCACCCCCTGCCCCTTCAAAACCCTCAGATTGTTTTTCAGAGTCCATAGTCTCTCATGGTTCATCTCCCCCTCCAATTTCCCTCAACTACCTTCTCCTCTCCATCTCCCCATGTCCTCCATGTTATTTCTTATGCTCCACGAATAAGTGAAACCATAGGATAGTTGACGTTCTCTGCTTGACTTGTTTCACTCAGCATAATCTCCTCCAGTCCTGTCCATGTTGATAACAAAAGTTGGGTATTCATCCTTTCTGATGGAGGCATAAAACTCCATAGTTTATATGGACCACATCTTCCTTATCCATTCATCCGTTGAAGGGCATCTTGGTTCTTTCCACAGTTTGGCGACCGTGGCCATTACTGCTATGAACATTGGGGTACAGATGGCCCTTCTTTTCACTACATCTGTATCTTTGTGGTAAATACCCAGTAGTGCAATTGCAGGGTCATAGGGATATCCACACTGTCTTCCAAAGTGGCTGCACCAACTTGCATTCCCACCAACAGTGTAAGAGGGTTCCCCTTTCTCCACATCCTCTCCAACACACATTGTTTCCTGTCTTGTTAATTTTGGCCATTCTAACTGGTGTAAGGTGATATATCTCAAGGTGGTTTTGATTTGAATCTCCCTGATGGCTAATGATGATGAACATTTTTTCATGTGTCTGATAGCCATTTGTATGTCTTCACTGGAGAAGTGTCTGTTCATATCTTCTGCCCATTTTTCGACGTAATTATCTGTTTTGTGTGTGTTGAGTTTGAGACGTTCTTTATAGATCCTGGATATCAGCCTTTTGTCTCTACTGTCATTTGCAAATATCTTCTCCCATTCCGTGGGTTGCCTCTTTGTTTTGTTGACTGTTTCCTTTGCTCTGCAGAAGCTTTTGAGCTTGATGAAGTCCCAAAAGTTCATTTTCGCTTTTGTTTCTTTTGCCTTTGGAGACATATCTTGAAAGAAGTTGCTGTGGCTGATATCAAAGAGGTTACTGCCTATGTTCTCCTCTAGGATTCTGATGGATTCCTGTCTCACGTTGAGGTCTTTTATCCATTTCGAGTTTATCTTTTTGTATGGTGTAAGAGAATGGTTGAGTTTCATTCTTCTTCTACATATAGCTGTATGTATGTCCAATTTTCCCAGCGCCATTTATTGAAGAGACTGTCTTTTTTTCACTGTATATTTTTTCCTGCTTTGTTGAAGATTATTTGACTTCATTCCATGTAGACTTTATCTCCATTTGCAATTAAAAAAATGTACTCTTAAAATTGCTTTTTTTCTCCTCTGTAGTACAGGACATATTCCATTAAGGATCAGAGATCTGGCAATGCCCTACCGTTTATTCTGTGTGACTCAATGGGGCTGGGTGAGAAGGAAGAAGGACTTTGCATGGATGACATAGTCTACATCTTAAAAGGCCACATTTCGGACAGATACCAGGTATGATTGGGCTAATCACTGAGAAATTATAACTGATATTTAAAATGTTTGTTTTTGCTTGCTACTGACGACTACAGATTCTAATCTAATTTAATGCATTACCATTTATTTTCTTGAACTATATTTGTTCAAGATCATTTGTTCTTTTTTGATATTTTATTTTACAAAGAATTAAAACAACCAAAAGACTCTTCTGTCATAGCTGTTATAACAACTCTGAATGTTGTTGTGTATTCAATTGCCTTTGGTTATGTGAGACAGAAATCCAAATACATCGATTTACTCACCTAGGTAATTTTTCTTATGTAACAGGAAGTCTGAAGGGTAGGCAGCTTTTAATCAGTGTGGACACTCTCTGAGGTTATCAATTTCAGGGGTCCATCTCACTTTCTCTTATGAGACCCTCAGTATGGGGTGCTTTGTGTTTCCCTAAAATTCACATGCTAGCCCTAACCCCAGTGTCATGGTATTAGGAGGTGAGGCCTTTCAGAGGTGATTAGGTCATAAGGGTAAATCCCTCATGAATGGGATTAGTGTCCTTACAAGAGAAGATAAAAAGAGAGATGATCTTTCTCTCTGCCACATGAAGACACAACAAGAAGTTAGCTATCTGCAAACCAGGAAGAGGGCTGTCATCAGAGGCCAAATCTGCTAGCGCCTTGATCTTGGACTTTATAGCCTCAGAACTGTGAGAAGTAATTTTTGTTCTTCATGGCACCAAATATGGTAATTTGCAGCCCAAGCGGACTAAGATGTGTGGCTTTCATCCTTAATGCTCTCCAGATGTTCACACTGAGCCCTGTCTGTGTTCTAGACAGGAGAAGTGGGGATTAAAGAGAAAACCACTTTAGTCTGTCATTTTTTTAAAACTTTCTAGTCCTTTGTATAGACATTTAGATTTTGAATTAATCATTACTTTACCTTGTTCCAAATGAATAGTCAGTTGTGCCAGCATCTTTCCTTGAATGTCTTTGCATCTTTTCCCTACCAAATATAGGGATTGGTTTGCTCTGTTGATGTATTTATCAATTCCTTTATGATATTCTTTTTATTACCACATCGTTTAATTGTTGTAACTACCATAGCAATCAACTCTGTCTTGATACCTCACTGGACAAGTCATATTCATTACTTATTTCTTGCATTTGCTTTTCTGCACTATTTTCACAATATACTTTTCTAAGTGAGCCTGTTTGTGTTTGATTTGTTGTTGTTTTGATTAAAATTACATTAAAATTTTATATCAAAATTTGATTTACATCTTTACATATCAAATGTTCTTATCCAGAAACACGAAATGTTTTATTTTTCTACTCATGCAAGGGCTTTCATTCTTTAGTACAGCATTGTCTTGTAGAGGGAAAGTTTATTTTTCAATATTCATTTTTTTTAAAAAACAGCTTTATTATAGGGGATTTTAAACTATGCAAAAGTAGACAAACAATTTAATGAATTCCCATTTACTCAGCTTCTTCAGTTTTTGATCATGGCTCATCACCTGTGTCTATCCACTTTCTCCTCCCCTGTATTTCTCGGGATCAAATTTAATACATCTTAACATTTAATCCATAGATCATAGCAAGTACACCAATACTCTGATGACAAACATCAAACCCACCCTTCCTAGTCAACTAACATTTACCCAAACCACATACAGTTAGGTTTGGTGTACTGAAATATAGTCTAAAGTCAACTTTACAAAATAGGGTGTAGTCAAAGAATCTATTTCCTTTCTCTGGCCCTTCAAATACATTTCTTCCTTTTTCTTATAAATAACCATATAAGGGGTGCCTGGGTGGCTCAGTGGGTTAAAGCCTCTGCCTTCAGCTCAGGTCATGATCCCAGGGTCCTGATATCGAGCCCCACATCGGGCTCTCTGCTCAGCCTTCTCCCCCCGACCCCCGTCTGCCTCTCTGCCTATTTGTGATCTCTGTCTGTCAAATAACTAATAAAATCTTAAAATAAATATAAAAATTTATGGTGTACTTTCCTTTTTTACAATACAAGAAAATACAGGTCTGTGGTTCTCCTCTTTTTAGAGAAGTCATGAACTACTCTGTGTTATTGGTACATTAGAATCCTGCCACTACACGTAGTCCTGAAGTTAATAGACTTGTGCATGCATCATTTTGTATTTTTACTGCCATACCTGTGACAGATTCCCAGCAGAAGGATTGCTAGTTCAAGAGTAAATACATCTCATTTTGAACCACTTTCAGCCCTTGCATTCTGTGTGGTGAAACCACATTCCTTTCTGAAGGCTCTCACCTCCACCTTGCCCACATTGGTTCTATCCAGAATGCTTTTGGCCATGTGCTCATTCCTTTTATCAGACTAACTTCCCCTACTTTTCAGCTCCCAGATTACATGTCCGCTTCTTCGCAAACTATGTGACCGAGGGAATGGGGTGCTAGCTACTTGCATAGACTGTCTTCTCTACTGGATTGTTAACCTCATAATATCAGAGACTTGCACACTGCCTGATATATAATATGTGCTCATGAATATCCATGGAATTAAAATGTTGAGTTATGTTTACCTTGCAGTTTAATTCCTCAAAACCAATCACACCGGTTCATAGTAACTATATTGACAACCCATTGTTGAAGGACAGAATCCATTGTGTGGCACTTGTGTTTGACATCAACACTGTTGAACACCTCTCTCGTGACATGATGGCAAAGATCAAAAAAATTCGAAGGGAGTTGATAAAGTGTGGTGAGTCTTGTTCCACTCTACTATTGAGGGCAGTTAATTAGACTATATTGTAGAATGGTTTTAGAACAGGATGAAAAATTTGAGAAATTGCATATGTGAATCTTCTGTGGCCCATCAGTGTGGTTCAAACAAATCAAGCACTCGACAGCTGTATGACTTTGTGCCATGACCTAAATTCTCTATGTCTCAATTTCCTAACCAAAAAAAATAGTATAAGGATAACACCTATCTCAGAGATTTATTATAAGGATTAAACAAATCAATATATTTGAAGAATTTAACACAGTCTTCACTACCTGTTACCACTGTATCCTAACATTGATTCATTTACCAAAAGTTCTAAATTTCCTCTTGGGCCTTAAATGATTAGAAATGGAAAACAGTATATCAGTAAGAAAACAGGCAGGGAAGTAAGATGTTAGGTAGGGCGGGGTAGCATAAAGGCTTAGGGGAAGGTAGACAGGATCGGGGAATTAAGGTGCCTCATACTGGCTTTTCTTGGCTTTATTACCCATTCTGTCGGGAAAAGTGCCAGTTTGTCACAGCTTTGATTAAGTTAGAAGCATGGAATGATTTACTCGCTCACTGTAATTTGAAACCTTGCCAGTGAGGTGTGCAGGGAGGTGCTTGCTAGCATTGTCATAGAAGAACAATTTACTTGTGATGCTTTCACACATGCTATTGACTTCTGGAGGATTCTCCCCCATCTTGCTTGTGAGATCTCTTTTCTGTAGTCTCCATAAAAACAACCATTTGGACGGGATAGGAGACCAATCAACAATATTGTAGTATCACTAGTTACCTCTTTAGTTATCTCTTCCAAAAGGTGGTTTCATTTGAAGCCACATTTCTTACCATGGAAAGCAATGAAGGGAATTTCCTATGATACTAATGAGTACTTGAGCAGTGCATTTTTAAGGGATGGTGGACCTTCCCAAATCTCTGAACTTGCTTCACAGATAGCCTGTTGCATAATTGATCTCTGGTTAACTGAAACATACTGATGCTGTCTTTAATGATCAAAGTGACAAGTATCTGTTTGGCCTAGGTGTAGCACATGTGGTTTTGCTCACTCATGTGGATAGCGTGGACCTGATTAGCAGAGGTGACCTTGGAGACATATACAAATGTATGCTTGTGAAGCCTAAGGTAATGAATGATGTTCCTCTTTGCAGACACATTTTCTGGGATATGTCACTATAATCACATAGATATTGCTGCAAATAAAAATAAAAATGGACACCTATTGAATTTAAGAATTAAAATAATTTCTTGGATAATTCAGACTTACTTCTCAAATTTAAAAATTAAATATATATTCATTTTTACATGGACACAGATCATTCCATTCATTATAATTTAACCCAAATAGCTTCAATTCAACAAATATTTATTGATTGTCTTTCATAATTGAGTCAGTGTGATAGTCGCTAACCAGATACACAGATAATTAAAACAATTTCTCTGCACTCAAAGGTTATAATTTTATCAGTGGAGGTGAGAGGGTTGGGGAGAGGGATAGGAAAAAATTGACAGAGTATGAGTATGATAAATCTTATGAAGAGATTCAAAATAAAATCAAAAGTTTAGAGGAGGAAAATATTGTGTGAAAGGAGATGGAGAAGATTTCATTCCTGGAGTGTCACTGGAAAATAGGTTTCAAAGAGGAGGAGGATTTTGGGAGGTGAAGAGACAAAAGGGGAAAAAAAATCAGGCTATGAGGATAGCCCAAGTCAATACAGTAGTGTGGGAAGAGGCAATGTGAGTGGGAAGCATGGAGTCATTCAGTTTAGTGGAGGGCCGAATCCTTGTAGGGGGAGATAAAGAAGTTATATTTGCATGAGGTGACTTTACGTAATGGGCACATTATGGGGAATCATAGCAATTTTTTTCTCTCTTAAGTTTTTATTTAAATTCCAGTGAGTTAACATATGGTATAATATTAGTTTCAGATGTACAATGTCGTGATTCAACATTTCCATGCATCACCAGTGCTCATCACAGCACGCGCCCTCCTTAATCCCCATCACGTATTTAGCCCATCCCCCCACCGCCGTAACCTTCAGTTTGTTCTCTCTATTCTTAAGAGTCTGTTTCTTAGTTTCTCTCTCTCTCTCTCTTTTTACCCTTTGCTCATTTGTTTTGTTTCTTAAATTCCACATATGAGTGAAATTATATGGCGTTTGTCTTTCTCCAAATTATTTCACTTAGCATAATACTCTCTAATTCCATCCATATTGTTGCAAATGGCAAGATTTTTCATATATATATGAAATATATATATATGAAATATATATATGAAATATATATATGAAATATATATATATTTTTCATATACATATATATATATGAATCACATCTTCTTTATCCATTCATCAGTCAATGGGCACTTGGGCTCTTTCCATAATTTGGCTATTGTAGATAATGCAGCTATAAAAAGTAGTGATATAACCAAACTGAAGCATCACAAAAATTCATCTCCCACTACATGTAGAATGGATTATAGTCAAAAGGAACCTGGATTTGGGAATACCAGTTGGGAACATGTAATGATAGCTAGTATTTGTTGAGCACTAAATATGTGATAAATTTTCTTACTCAATATTTACAACAGCCCTGTGAGATGAGTACTGTCATTACCACATGTAGTAGATGAGGAAACAAACACACAGAGAGTAAAGTATTTGCCAGTGTTTTTGACAGTGACGAGAAATAACAGAGCCCTGTTTTAAACCCAAGCAGTGTCATTCCCTAGATAAATTTGTCTAAGCAAGAATTAAAATAGCATACTAAGCTAATCTAGTAAAATTGACTAATCATGAGAATAACTTTGAATAAGAAACAGGGAAATTGCAGACTAGCATAAAGCATTAAAAATGCTTCAGTTTCAAAGTAATCTGCATGGAACTATTAGTTATGTTTCATTTCTAACTCATATGAAATATATGTATTCTTGATGAAAGTTGGTAGTGACACTGGAGATTGACTTGTGAAGCTCTTTAAGAAAGTATTTATGGGACCAGATCTCTATTTTTATTTTCCCCAACAGGAATACTACTGCCAAGCTCCTGCTATTTGTTACTGCTTTCGTGGTATATATTGACCTAAAATAGTCTTGGTCACTGTTTCTCTATTGCAGTTAGAGACAGTCCACAGAGAACTTGGATTTGCTCTTTCTGACATCTTGGTGGTTAGTAATTATACCTCAGAGTGGGAGCTGGACCCTGTAAAGGACGTTCTGATCCTCTCTGCGCTGAGACAGATGCTGTGGGCGGCAGATGACTTCTTAGAGAATTTGCCTCCTGAGGAAACAGGTAGATATTTGATGGTATTGACATTTGAAGGTGTCAGCTGTATGGCTACTCCCGCTTGGATCTATTGGGTACGTGGAAGTTCACTGTGTCACTGTAGGTCACCATCTTGTGAGGAGTCCTACCCTGTAACTCACTGGCTGGGTGTGTTTTCTCCCCCCTCACATTTCCTGATTTCCCCACCCTTAGGGTACATCCTAGGAATTTGCACTACTTCTCTTTCCCCCCATGTCTAAAGATAGAATCTTTGAAATGATACATTTCTGTCATTTCTACTGTGTGAACACTCCAAGTTGTATCCTTGCCCTCTTCTCTCAAAATGTGCTTCTTTGCTTGGGACCTAGAAATCGATTGGATCAGCGTTGTTCCTGATCAGATATGATCTTTGCTTACTTGCCCCTTTCTTGAGACTTATGTTTTGCCTTTTATGATTTGACTTTTTTTTTTTTTTAGGCAATGCTTTTTTTTTTTTTTTTTTTTTTTTTTTTTTTTTTTTATAAACATATATTTATTTTTTCCCCAGGGGTACAGGTCTGTGAATCTCCAGGTTTACACACTTCACAGCACCCACCATAGCACATACCCTCCCCAATGTCCATAACCCCACCCCCCCTCTCCCAATCCCCCTCCCCCCAGCAACCCTCAGTTTGTTTTGTGAGATTAAGAGTCACTTATGGTTTGTCTCCCTCCCAATCCCAACTTGTTTCATTTACTCTTCTCCTACCCCATTAACCCCCCATGTTACATCTCCTCTCCCTCATATCAGGGAGATCATATGATAGTTGTCTTTCTCCGATTGACTTATTTCGCTAAGCATGATACCCTCTAGTTCCATCCACGTTGTTGCAAATGGCAAGATTTCATTTCTTTTGACGGCTGCATAGTATTCCATTGTGTATATATACCACATCTTCTTTAGCCATTCGTCTGTTGATGGACATCTAGGTTCTTTCCATAGTTTGGCTATTGTAGACATTGCTGCTATAAACATTCGGGTGCACGTGCCCCTGCGGATCACTACATTTCTATCTTTAGGGTAAATACCCAGCAGTGCAATTGCTGGGTCATAGGGTAGTTCTATTTTCAACATTTTGAGGATCCTCCATGCTGTTTTCCAGAGTGGTTGCACCAGCTTGCATTCCCACCAACAGTGTAGGAGGGTTCCCTTTTCTCCGCATCCTCGCCAGCATCTGTCATTTCCGGACTTGTTAATTTTAGCCATTCTGACTGGTGTGAGGTGGTATCTCATTGTGGTTTTGATTTGTATTTCCCTGATGCCGAGTGATATGGAGCACTTTTTCATGTGTCTGTTGGCCATCTGGATGTCTTCTTTGCAGAAATGTCTGTTCATGTCTGCTGCCCATTTCTTGATTGGATTATTTGTTCTTTGGGTGTTGAGTTTGCTAAGTTCTTTATAGATTCTGGACACTAGCCCTTTATCTGATATGTCGTTTGCAAATATCTTCTCCCATTCTGTCAGTTGTCTTTTGGTTTTGTTAACTGTTTCCTTTGCTGTGCAAAAGCTTTTGATCTTGATAAAATCCCAATAGTTCATTTTTGCCCTTGCTTCCCTTGCCTTTGGCGATGTTCCTACGAAGATGTTGCTGCGGCAGAGGTCAAAGAGGTTGCTGCCTGTGTTCTCCTCAAGGATTTTGATGGATTCCTTTCTCACATTGAGGTCCTTCATCCATTTTGAGTCTATTTTCGTATGTGGTGTAAGGAAATGATCCAATTTCATTTTTCTGCATGTGGCTATCCAATTTTCCCAACACCATTTATTGAAGAGGCTGTCTTTTTTCCATTGGACATTCTTTCCTGCTTTGTCGAAGATTAGTTGACCATAGAGTTGAGGGTCTATTTCTGGGCTCTCTATTCTGTTCCATTGGTCTATGTGTCTGTTTTTGTGCCAGTACCATGCTGTCTTGATGATGACAGCTTTGTAATAGAGCTTGAAGTCCGGAATTGTGATGCCACCAACTTTGGCTTTCTTTTTCAATATTCCTTTGGCTATTCGCGGTCTTTTCTGGTTCCACATAAATTTTAGGATTATTTGTTCCATTTCTTTGAAAAAAATGGATGGTACTTTGATAGGAATTGCATTAAATGTGTAGATTGCTTTAGGTAGCATAGACATTTTCACAATATTTATTCTTCCAATCCAGGAGCATGGAACATTTTTCCATTTCTTTGTGTCTTCCTCAATTTCTTTCATGAGTACTTTATAGTTTTCTGTGTATAGATTCTTAGTCTCTTTGGTTAGGTTTATTCCTAGGTATCTTATAGTTTTGGGTGCAATTGTAAATGGGATGGACTCCTTAATTTCTCTTTCTTCTGTCTTGTTGTTGGTGTAGAGAAATGCGACTGATTTCTGTGCATTGATTTTATATCCTGTGATTTGACTTTTTTGATGTGTCTTCCGCCTCAGAGTTTCTCAATGCCAGGTAGTCAGTGCTAGGTAGACATATGTGCCTTTCATATTTATGGCCTCAGATTTTAGCATTGCATGTATTCTCTCTCAGATTCTCTCAAGAATACATGCTGCACGGTTTCAGTCAAAGATCAGACAGAGGGGCGCCTCAGTGGCTCAGTGGGTTAAAGCCTCTGCCTTTGGCTATGATCATGATCCCAGGGTCCTGGGATCGAGCCCCATATTGGGCTCTCTGCTCAGTGGGGAGCCTGCTTCCTCCTCTCTCTCTGCCTGCCTCTCTGCCTACTTGTGATCTCTGTCTGTCAAATAAATAAATAAAATCTTTAAAAAAAATAAGACAGAAGTTTCAATTTATACTCAAATTTTATTTTAGTTTGTGAGAAATAAAATTAGAATATCAAATCTTCTTTATTCTCTCTCACTTGCAAACTGCTAAGAAACTCTCATGCTACTACTGACTCTACCATCTTGATTTCTTCATGTCTTCTCTTCTTCATGGAGCATGCACTCCCAAAGTCAGGGCTGGTTGGCTTAGACCCCCCAGTAGCCCAATGTTCTTCCTCCTTATGCTTGCTTTTCCCTAAATAATCCAGTAAGAATATTTTGTTTCTCTTTTCTCAGAGATCAAAGAAGAGGAACCATCGACTGTGTAAAAGAAGGAAAAAAATATGTGAACCCTTCACATACTAATAATTTTTATCTCATCATAGAAGATTGAAAATTGAAAAATAAGAAAACACAGGAAAAAGAGAAGTAGCTGAAACAGAAGGGGCATGTTTTATTTATGTCTGTGTTGAAGATACATATGGAAAATCATAATGCCTGCAAATAACTAGAAACAGTGGGCTTTAAAGCCATTAATGGTGGAAAAAATGAACATAATTTCTTTTGGATTTATGTTCTGTATCTGTGAAAAATCAAAGTTTCTTCTTACAAAGTCTGAATTTAACTTAAGTGTGGGTGTGTGATTTTGGAAAAGTTTATTTTGTCAGCATTATTTGGTCTTCACCCACATCATCTTAATTTTGCCTTCTTATTTTATTTCCAAATTATTTGATCTTCTCTTTGGGTCTCCAGTTAATGGTGTACTCTTTACACTGAGGCCATTTTTTGGTTTGCTTAATATCTGAAACCCTCTTTTAAGATGTGACAATATTGGTAAGAGTTTGAGGGGATTAAAGCTGACAAGAACTATAGTTTGATTTTTCTGTCAATTATGACTATTTTAGTTACAAGTGATAAAACTCAACCTGAATTACATGATTAAAAAAATAAACCATATAAAAGGCTGGGGTTGAACTGAACTGCCTCAGAAATGATTGAATCTAGAGTTTCAAAAGCTATTCTCTTTCTCTCTCACACACGTGCACATGTGTGTGCACGCGCGCACGCACACACGCACACACATACGCCCACACTCTCTGGTTCCTTCTTTGTGTCTCTTGCTGTCATTCTCTCAGGCTAGCATTCTTGATAAATCTTAAACAATCTGAATCCAAGCTGACATTCATTCAGTCTTGTGACCCAAAAAGGAAGAGAGCTTTTCTTTTCCAGTTTCATTGTGAAATAATCCAAAAAAGGACTGTTGATTTAGTTCAAATCATATGCCTACTCCCCAAGAACAATCACTTTCTCTGCAGAAAAGAGAGAAATATGATCATCCCATCTTAAACAATACTTGCCCAAGAAGAGTGATTTATTATTAGAAGGAGGGGTTTAATCATGGACATGACCACTGTGGATTAACTGAGCTGGAGAGGCACCTTAATATGTATCTTGTGAATTCAGGAAGTTTTCTATCTAGTTTCTCACTTAGAATATAAGAATAAATATATTCTTTATAAGAACATAAAGTCTTATTAATAAGTCTAAAAATCATTAACAATTTTAAAAAGCTTTTTATTAAAGTAGTATATACACATAAAAAGTTTATAGTTCATAATTGTATGGCTCAATACATTTTGATAGACTCAAGCCATGAAACTAGAACTCAGGTAAGAAACAGAACATTCTAGAAGTTCCCTTTAAGCCCCAGTCTAGCTACATAGGATATCCACTATTCTGACTTCTAATTGCATAGATTAGTCTTTTTCTTTTTTATCCCTAACATAACATTATGCACTATTTACTCTTTTGGGTCTAACTTCTTTCCTGAGATGGTTTATTTGTTTGATTTGTATTATTGTACATAGGTAAAGATAATTTGTTCTCATATATCCTATTATTGTCATGTTAATGGGAAGTTCTAATACTTTCCTTGTAGGTCAAGAATACATTCCATATCTGTTGCATTAAAAATTTTTCTAATTAAAGCTTCATAAAAATAAACCATTTGATTTTGGGTCTTTCCAATTTTGTATAATAATAAAGATTCCATAGTGGGAACATACTGTATTTCAATTTGTAAATGTAGCTTGAAAATGAGAAGTAGCATCATGAAGGAGTTGACATGATCCTAAAATTTACAGAGCAGTGTAACGTGTCAAACACAGTCAAGATGTTCTTGATAAACGAAGGGGGAAAGCAGGTATAAAGAGACATATTAAGAAATGTAAATTAACTGTGGTGGATTAATAAATTAATGGAACCGAATGGAGAGTCCAGAAACAGACTTGAGTATGTCTGGACATTTGTTCTATGATAGGGGTAGATGAATGGAGAAACAACAGACAATTCATAAATGGTCTAGTCAATTGGCCATCCATATGGGGAAAAATAAAAGTGAATCCCTCACATCGTATGCAGAAGTCTACTTTAGGTGGACTAAGCACCTAAATGCTAAAAGGATTTTGGAAGATAAAATAGAAGGGTACTTCTATAACTTGGGGGTAAGGAAATATTTCTTAAGTCATATTTCTTAAACAAGATACAAAAAGCTTAATACCAAAAGAGATTGAAAATTCAACTATATTGAAATCAGTAACTTTTTTAATTTTTATTTTCATTTTTTTAAATCAGTAATTTTTATATTCAACAAATCCCATTAAGATAGTAAAAATATACAGCAATATGTGGGAGAACATATAACTAGCAAAGAACTAATAAAAGGACGTACAAAGAAATCCTACAGGTCTAGAAGAAAACTAAAATATAAAAGAAAATGAACCAAAGACTTGAAAAGGGAGCTCTAAAAAAAAAAGGAAATTCAAATATTCAGTACATAAGAAACATGTTCAACATAATTTGTGATAGAAAAAGATCCAAACTAAAATAATTTGGTTCTTTTTTACATTTATTGAGATTTAATTGACATATAAAGTACATATTTTTAAAGTGTAACATTGAGTGAGTTTTGACATATGAATGCACCTTAAAATAGTCTTGACAGTCAAGATAACAAATATTTCTATCCCCTCCCCCCAAAAAAATTGTAATCCATTCTCTTTATTCCATCTCTTGTTCTGGTCCTCAGATAACCACTAGTCTGTACTCTGACACTCTAAGTTACTTTTCACTTTTTAAGAATTTGTATACACGAAATTGTGCAGAATATACTCTTCCGTGTCTGGCTTTTATTCAGTGTTTTAAGATTCAACCACGTGGTTGTATGTAACAATAGTTCTTTCTTTTTATTGCTGAGTAGTATTTCATTGTGTGAATATACTACATTTCTTTATCCATTCACCTGTAAACAGACTTTTGGATTGTTTCCAGTAAAGTTCACGATATGCAGAGAGACCCCATGAGCTAGCATTTTGACTCTCAGTTACGTATCTTAAGGATACTTTTTGGATGCATCAAAATACACGTATAAGAATTTTTGTAGTAGCCTTCATAATAGGCCCAGTTGGAAGCAACCCACATGCCCATCAATAGTAGAAAAGATAATAAATTGTGGTATGTTATATAGAGTACTTCATTTCATATAACAAAATTAAAGAACTATAACTATATATATCAGTGTAAATATTGTAAATATAATATTGGCCAAAAGGATGAAGACATGAATGAATCTATGCATTATGTATAGTTTTATATAAATCTCACAAAAGTTCTAAATAGAAGAGAGGAAATGATGATCGTAAAAGTGAAGATGATAATTACCTTTCAAGGGTTTGGGGTTGTGAAGAGTCAGGGGTCACCTAGGGATTCTGCAGAAATTAAAAGTTTCCTTTGTATTGAACAGGGTGGTTGTGAAATGGATATTTGCTTTGTAGTTATTTTTAAGTTGTACGTTTGTATTTTATGTGCTTTTCTGCATGTATTATATATTTCATAATTAAAGCAGGAAAAATGAGAAGTGATATCATATACAAACATTAGAATTAGACAAAACTGGGTCTTGCTGCATATTATGTGATCTTTAAGAAGTCTCTCATTTCCCTATCTTACAGATGATGATAACAGTTTATTCATAGATATTTTGTAAGAGCTAAATTAGATAATATATACAGCTAGATTATCAGTGCAGGCACTTAGAAACAGAAACTCAGGTGCTGATGGACACTGCCAATCCTGTATAACAACAAACTGATAAGTTACTATGTTTCCCTATTGTAAATTTAACTTTATTATAGTTGAAAACAAAGATAAGCCTTGGACTTTGAAAGCTCATAACAAAAATGAAAAATACCAAAAGCCAAATTATCAGAGTTTTTGCTTTTGGTTGTTTGATATGTGGTGTTTTTTGTTTGCTTGTTTGTTTTTGTTTTTGTTTTTAATATACCTTTGCCTTCAAAGAGTGTACTGTAACTCAAATTCAAAATTTATAAAAGCAAATAAAAACATATTAAATGGCTTGGTCACGTCTGCCCCCTACTGGCCAATTTACAAAATGGAAAGGAGGCTGAAGGTTGAATTTGGAAGCTTGTATTAAAACTGCTAAGGTTTCTAATTCTTAAAAAAGCTGACACAACAAATTTTCAAGTGTGTGATTTTTTAAAGGTATACAACATTTAAATAGAAGATAATTTTCTCCTGGTGTTGAATATGTGGTAGTACTTTTGAAATGCTGTGGTCTGCATTCTCTAATGTTTTTGGCATTATATTAGACTTACTATTTATACATATTTACATTTTAAGCTAACATTAATGTGTTGTATTTTAGCATTTTTGCTAACCTGCAGGACAGAAATTTGAATATATAATACTTAAGGCTTATGGTGATCAATGAACACACAAAATGGGTACTTTTGCCTTTTGCTTTTCATAAACGGGATCCCCAATTACATTACTTTTGGATAATGAAGTCTTGAACCCACTTATACAGGAATTAATTTGTATAGATAAATCACAGTTGTGGGGACCAGGAGAAACATTATACTTCAAGTGCCATGTTCTCTCAATTTTAATTTCTATTTGATTTAGGATTATTGCATATGAACCGAGAGTTTGCAAATTAGTTACTATAGCAAATTGCTACAAAAGCATGAAAATATGTTCCATTTCTGTGCCAATGGTGCCTTCAGAGAGATTTACAGTGGATTCCTTTCAGCTACATAGTATTGAGTCCAACCTTTTTTAGGATGGTTTTCCTAATCTGGACATATTTGATCTCAAGCCCTAAAACAAGCACTCAATTGAGTGACTTCCTCTTCTTCACTGTTTTGTGCATCTTCTTGTCTCCATGGCTTTGTTCATACTTTGGGGAAGTTACTTAATTTCTATTTGCTTTGTCTTCTTATCTGGTAAATGGGGATACTTTACTTACCCTGATTATTTTGAAGATTAAATGAGAAGGCATAGGTAAAGTACTTTTTTGAAAAGCATCTAAAACACAGTAGGCACTAAATAACTACCATTAACCAT